GTGGGGGACATGCAAATCAGCTGGAGGCTAACTCAATGCTTCCTTGCAATACAAGAGGGATGAGCCTTCCCTGAAGAAATGCAAAATTAGTGAAAGTGCATGGGGGTGGGAGGGGGGGACAGGGATGGGGTGGGGGACTGGGACGTCGAATTAACATAGATGGGTTTGAACCCGACCTGAATGTGGATCCAGGGTTTAAAGAATCATCATCTGTCTGTGTGTGTGCTCACACCCACGGTAGAGTAATTTAAAGAGCTCCTGATATATGTAGTCAATGAATACAGCTTGGGGTGGGGGAGGCAAGCAGTGAGTGGACAATGTGTATTCTCTTCTTTCCAGCCTTTGTGCCAGTTGTATTGATCATTGATCTGAAAACTTAAAACTTTGGAGATAACCTCAAAACCAGGACCTTCAAAAAGAAAGTAAATGTTTAGATAATAATGATGGCAACATATGTACAAATATGCTTGATGTATAGTTTGTTATAAGAGCTGTAAGAACCCCCCAATACAATGATCTTGAAAAGAAAGTAACAATAAAAATGAAATGTGAAAATAAATTTTTTAAAATAAATAATAAACCAGGATCTTGGCAGGGACAGTATTTCACTATTTCCTACCATTAATCACTTCTCAAATGACCTACCTTCCCTTGACTTTTCAGGATCTACAACAGGTGTGTGGGGAGTGCTATTCAGCAAGATACAAATATAAAAATGACATCAAGTCTCAGAGGTAATAGCCAATCTTTGTGCACATAAGAAAAGAAAATAGCTCAATTGAGAGCAATACATGTAGATGTGGATGCCGAGGAGGTCTTGAAAGGGAGGAATTTTTAGATCATCTTATCAGGGAGTTTAAGAGAATGATCTTCAGCTGCTTCAAATCCAAGAAGAAACATTTGACAGAAATATGGAAATCACACAAGAGAAGATAGAAGAACTCAGGAAATAACTACAAGAACAATTTGACAAAGTAAGTGACAAGCTAAGAATATTTCAACAATGCCAACTAGAAAGTCAAAGGGCAAACACTAAGCTATTAGAACTGGAGAACATTTGAGGAAGAAGAAGAAGAAGAAAAATGAATCGAAACAATGGGAAACAAATCAGTGATCTCCAAAACAAATTGCTCACGACCAGAACACAAGAACAACAAACTGTATAAACGATCCCCAAAGTTGAAAAACACCTAATACTTGTATGGAACACTATCAAATGTGTCCATTTGATAATTATCCCACAATAGAAATATGAAATATAAACTACAGAGGAAATAGTTGAAGTTTGAAAAGAGAACTTCCCTAATATTATGGCAGAACAGAAAATAACTATCCAAGAATCCCAGACAACCCAACCAGAATTAATTCCAAAAGAAATCATGAAAAGTGAAAGTTAAACTTTTTAACATCAAATACATGGGAATAAAAGAAAACATGGGAATAAAAGAATAATCACCTATAAAGGCAAATTGATGAGAATAAGCTCAGGTTTTTCTTTTCTTTCCTTTTCTTTTTTTGAATCATTTTTTGGGGGGGCTCATACAACTCATCACAATCCACACATCCATCCATTGTGTAAAGCACATTAACTGTACATTTGTTGCCATCTTCATTCTCAAAACATTTGCTTTCTACTTGAGCTCTTGGTATCAGCTCCTCATTTTCCCCCTCCCTTCCTATCCCCCCACCCCTCGTGAACCCTTGATAATTTATAAATTATTATTATTTTGTCATGTCTTACACTGTCTGAAGTCTCCCTTCACCCACTTTTCTGTTGTCCATCCCCCAGGGAGGGGGTTATATGTAGATCCTTGTGATAAGTTCCCCCTTTCTACCCAACCTTCCCTACACCCTCCCAGTATTGCCACTCTCACCAATGGTCCTGAGGGATTCATCTGTCCTGGATTCCCTGTGCTTCCAGCTCTTATCTGTAGCAGTGTACATCCTCTGGTCTATCTGAATTTGTAAGGTAGAATTGGGATCTTGATAGTGGGGGGAAGGAAGCATTAAAGAACTAGAGGAACATTGTATGTTTCATCAGTGCTATACTGCACCCTGACTGGTGTCTTCTCCCCATGACCCTTCTGTAAGGGATGTGCAATTGCCTAGAGATGGGCTTTGGGTCTCCACTTCACACTCCCACTCATTCACAATGATGTGATTTTTTTGTTCTTTGATGCCTGGCACCTGATCCTATTGACACCTCGTGATCACACAGGCTGGTGTGCTTCTTCCATGTGGATTTGTTGCTTCTCAGCTAGATGGCCACTTGTTTATCTGCAAGCCTTTAAGACCCCAGATGCCATATCTTTTGACAGCCAGGCACCATCAGCTTTCTTCACCACATTTGTTTGTGCACCCGCTTTGTCTTCAGCATTCGTGTCAGGAAGGTGAGCATCATGGAATGCCAGTTTAATAGAACAAAGTGTTCTTGCATTAAGGGAGTACTTGAGTAGAGGCCCAATGTCCCTGCTAACTTAATACTAAACTTATAAATATATGCACATAGATCTATTTCCCCGTCATCATATATAAATATATTTACATATGTATATGCTTGTGTTTAGACCTCTATAAATGCCCTTTGCCTCCTAGTTCTTTCCTTTATTTCCTTTTACTTTCCTCTTGTCCCACTATCATGCTCAGACTTCATTTGGGTTTCAGTAATTCCTCTTGGTTACATTGACCTTGATCAAGCCCTACCAGGCCTCCTACACCCTCCTCGCCACTGATTTTGGATCACTTGTTGTTCCCTTGGCCCTGGGTTTGTTAACACCTTTACCCCACCTCCCACTTACCCATGTCCCCCCCAGAACCATCAGTCCCGTTGTTTTCTCCTCCAGATTGTTTATTCTGCCTAACTTATCTAGATAGACCTGCAAAGATAACAATATACACAAAAACAAGACAGAGTAAAACAAAATAACAAACAGCAACAACAACAAAAACAATGACAAAGAAACAAAGAAAGAAAAGCCTGTACATAGATTCAGGTCTGTTTGTTGATCTTTAGGAGTGTTTTCCAGTCGAGTCTGATGGAGTGCCATGCCCTGGCCCCAAAGTCTACTTTTGGTACTCCCTAGGGACTTCCTTGCTCTGCTCCCCTTGCAGTTCTGTTGCACGCCCTTAGTGTTTTACCTTGGTGTGGTGGGGTCAGATCAGGTGCAATTTCCACACTGTGTCTCCTGTGTTGTCCCCTGTAGAGCTATGGGTCAGTGAGGGATGTCTTGTCTCATAGTGGGGCCGGCCATATGATCCTCTCTGTGCATTGGTTGCTCTGAAGCTCAGGTTTTTCTGTGGAAACCATGCTGGCAAGAAGGTAATGGATCAATATATACAAAAAGCAAAGAGAAAGTTGACAAGAAAACCCATAAACCAAATGAAAACAGCACAGAAAAATTATGGTGAACAAAGAAACCAACAGCACGACAAAAAGCATAACAAATTAACAATAAGGTCATACCTAGAAATAGTAATATTGAATTTAAATGAGTTAAATTCACCAATTAATGAATAGATAAGAAAACAATAGCTGTCAGGGGAGCCTACCCCTAACAAATCATCCCAGGTCCAGTAGGCACAACTGTACAGCGATAATAAGTAAAGATTATAGTAGAGTTATAGAAAATAAGAGAGATAGAAGAGATATTGAACTAATGTAGTCAGACACATTTCATAGTAGCATGCTCACCTGAGCCCCTCTTGGTGGCCCACATGGAGATATGGAAGGTGGGAATTGCAGCAGTGAGCAAGAGGGGGGGAAAAAGAGCTTCTTTATTGCTAACCAAGGCTTATATATCTTTGGGGGGCATACAAGCCCCTAATTACATGTAAAGACATATGTCACAGGAAGGGGTTGTTCTATAGGTACTACAGTAATGAGAGGGGGATGATCTAGGGGTATACACACAATAGGAAGGGGAGTTATTAGGGGCACACATGTGACAAGATGGGTGGATCCCAGATTCAGGATAACAGCCTAACTTTGGATGTCACTGAGCAGGTTTGAGCTGTTCTCTGGCTCTCCATGGAAATCATAATCAGTAGGGTGTGAACCCCACCTACAGTGGACCAGATGCCTTCAGGGAGAATATCTCTAAGCATCTGATCTCCCACCAAGTTCTGGAAAACAGCCTCTAATGTTTGGTATATCTTTGGGGGAGACAAAGTTGGGGAAAAGTCTTTTTATATCCCACAAATAGCCATTAACATGCTGCTTCCAAGAAACACAGCACAGAGATAAAGACAAAAAAAAACAACTAAAGATTAAGAAATGGAAAAATATATCAAGCTAATGGTAGTCTAAAGAAAGCAGGAGTAACAATATTAATTTCTAACAAAAGAGACATTAAAGTAAAACCCATCATGAGAGACAAAGAAGGTCATTATATAATGATGAAAACCATATTAAACAAGAAGATATGTTTGCCCAGCTATCAGAAGAAAGGCCTGTCTTAAAACAAGCAGGTATCTAAGTGAGGTGTCAACTAAGTCAGCATGGAAAAAACATACCAGTCTGTGTCATCCAAGGTCTGTAATAATAAAATCCAAATCAGAAAGATAGGATGGTATCAGGGCTTAAATTTTGACACCTGATTCACTAAAGGCTATGGATGACAGTGGAAACCCAAAATCAATATGGAGGTTATTCCACCACCACCAACCCTCCATGGATTAGGTCTCTAAAAAATTCTCTCTGATCATAGTTCAAGGATGTGAATCCCCTTGTTACCAGATGAAGAGCATTGTAAAGTCAATTATGGCAGACATATTTAGATTGAAATGTAAAATCTTATCATTTTATCTCCCTTTTGACCCAAATTATAGTTGTTTCGGTTTTGGGGGTGTTTTTTTTTAATGAAGAGGAAATACATATGGATTAAGCCTCTGGTATATATATCCCTTTTGACCATAGACGAGGCATGTTAATAGCTTTGCTGTGGTAGTTAGATTATTTTCTGTCACCTTGAGGTTTGTTTGTTTGTTTGTATTCCCGGGGTCCTTGTCCCGGCGTTTGAGGATAGAACCAGCAGCTGGGCAGCCGCCAGCACCGAAGACATGACGCCGAGGGGACTGGAGTCCAGCTCCCTCTGCCTCGGTACATAACAGGGACCAGGACTGCACTCCCAGCCCCCGCCAAGAAAAGGAGGGTCAACTTGAGTTTTATGAAAGCATAGCGGTAGAGTCAATCAAGTCCCAGCTGATGACAGACACCTCCTTGATGTCATAAGCCATGTGTTTAAGAGCAAGGCAAACAGAGACTATATTTCTCTCTCTGCTTTTTTGCATTCCTGTTTGAAGGGACTCTGTCACCGACCCTGAGAGCAGCCAGTGTCTTTGCATATGACTTTGCACCTACCGCCTTGTGGTCTTCCTGCATTCTACATCATTGCATATCGCTATGTGGGTCTGAAGAGAGATTTATGAATAGAGATTTATGAACGAGTATCTGACTTATGAACTTGAGTTGACAGGAATCCGATGCCTTTTTGGTATATAATCGCTTCTTAATATAAAGTTCTTTCTTATATATAGATGAGAGTTACTGGATTTGTTTCTTTACACATTGGCTTAACACATTGGCTATTATGCAGAATTCATTGGAAAGTGGATTATTGCAGATTTGATCTTCCTTTCTGTCCATTTTACATTTGTTCTAGTTTTTAATATTTTCTGTTTCTTTTAAATGGAATTTTTTATCTTTGTTATTGTTGTGGTTTTTCCAAATGGTTTTCAGCATATGCGATGCAGGAGAGGAAACTGAGTAGAGACAATGGCTGAATTAATGGCTTCTTGAGGGCAAGGCAGGGAAGGTTGGGAGGATATGGGGAGCTAATAACAATGAGTACAAGACTAAAGACAATGTCCTAAAACTGCTTGTGGTAATGATTGTAAAACTCTTCTAGATGTGACTGAACTATTGAAGTGTATGACAATAAACTATTAAAACAAAGAAGACATGACAGTAATAAACTTCTATGCACCCAATGAAAAACCCTAAAAATACATCAATCAAATTCTTATAGAATTGGAGAGACAAATAGGCCATAATACGATAATACTAGGAGACTATAATACATCACTTTTGAGCAAAGATAGATCAACTAGAGAAAAAAGCAACAAAGATAAAGAAGAATGAGAAAACACAATCAACTTGATCTCCTAGACTTATAAAAACAATTCACCCAACAATATCACAATATACATTTTTTCTAGTAGACATGGAATGTACTACAGAATATATTATATGGTCTGATACAGTAAAAATGTCAACATTATTGAATGTACTCTATAAATGCAATGCAATTCCAATTCAAGAGCCATCACAGCTCTTCAAAGTAATGGAAAAACTAATCACCAAATAAATATGGAAAGGAAACTAACCCCGGATAAACAAAACATTATATTAAAACAACAACAACAAAGTAGGAAGCCTCTTACTCTTCAATTTCAAAACCAGCTACACTAATCAAAACAGCTTGATATACTTCTTAATTAGTACATACACGAACAAAACATGAACAGATATATCACGTCCATATTTATTGGAGCAATTTTCATAATAGCAAAAAGATAGAAACAATAAAAAACCCTGGCTGTAGAGGAATGAACAAACTTGGTACATACACACAATGGAATAAGATGCATCTTTAAAATACCTCGTGACATGGACAAAGTTTGAGGATATTATTCAGCAAAGTGAGTCAATGTCATAAAGAAATATCTCATGATTCCATATCATAAAGGGGGAAAAGAAAAAGGAAAAAAATGGTCTTCACACCAATGGAAAAGACTTTGAAGATTATGATGAGGCTGAGGGTAGGAGGAAGGTAGAGGGGAAGAGAGGCATGTAAGGTAGGAGAGTGGATGAACAAAGAAAAGAAGAAAGAGCCACATGGGAGTGGTTTCCTGGGATACTATCACTACTCTGATGAGATGGGTGGTGCAACTACATATAGCATATTTTTCTTCGTCTGTGTTATATTCCACAAATAAAAGGAAACATTAAATAAATTAATTAAAACATTTAAAAACAAATTTTCAAGAGAGACTCTTACCCCAGCCCCACCCCAGAGCCCCCAAATTCTTTACCCATCAGATCTAAACACTGGTCTGAGTGGTCATAAAACAAGAAAAAGTGAAATTGAAACTGTGATTCTTTTGTGACATAGGTGCTAGTTTCAAATAAACAAACAAACATGTTAATAGTTTTCGAAAAGGAGCCATTGTGGCCTGCTAGTTTTGAATTGGGGTGTAATCTACTTGGTCTGCAGTTTGAAACCACCAGCAGTTCAGCAGGAGAAAGATGGGGCTTTCTACTCCTGTAAACAGTTACAGTCTCAGAAACCCACAAGGGCAGTTCTGCCCTCTCCTCTGGGGTCACTGAGTCTGCATCGACAGTTAACAGGGAGAGTCTTGGAAATCCACAGGGATGATTCTACCCTTTATATGGTTGCTATGAGTCAGTCGACTTGCTGGCAATGCGTTTGATTTGTTTGGAGAGTCTTTCAAAGTTTCTACATTTGAAAAATCTAGCTATTGAATCAATTCTGACTCATAACAATCTCATAGGGTAGAGTAGAAATTGCTATCCATGGTTTCTGAGACTGCAAACCTCACAGGGAGCAGACAGGTTGATCTTTCTGCAAGTGGCCATTTGACCTAAACTGCTGCCATTGTGGTTACCAGTTCAGCCTTTGACTCACTTCGCCACTTGTGCTATTTCTATATTGAATTTGGTAGGTTCAGAACAAGTTTTTCCTGGGGCCACATGAAACTCAGACTGTGGCTCTTCTGTTTTAAAAAACCAAACAAAACACTGCTATTGAGTTGGCTGTAAATTCTATACAGGAGCAGAAAACATTTTTCTACCAGAGAACAGCTATTGGATTTGAACTGCCAACTTTCTGATCAGTAGCTCAAAGCATGCTACAAGAATTCTTTTTTCCTTAGGGTGTTATCAAAACACTAGAATTAAAGCTAGTCATTTGCAAATCTTTGAACTGGTTTAGGCTTACCAAACTGGAAAGACTTGTTTTTACCACCACCACCACCACCACCACCCCTTTAAAAAAAAATGAAACACATTCTGTAATATCCAATTCAAAATGAAAAAAAAACAAAACTCACTGCCATCAAATTAATAGTTGTTTCTATAGTGAACTCTTTAAAAGGACTATCTAAACAAAAATTTTCTATTTAAAAAGCAGTTTGTTAATGGAAAAGGATGTTCACACTACCCCCACCACTGTGACTGAATAGACTCTGAGTCTGGGTTGTTGGGCTGCAGGGATTCACATACCAGGAAAGGGGTGGTAAACTACAGAGGACCAGGCAATAGCAGAAGACCTGCCAGAAAGGCAGCCACTGGTAGAAGGTCCTCAATTAGTTGACTATAAGGTCTGACTCAACATTCTACCAGGCCTTTTAGACTTTTCCCCCAAGGTATCCTCATCAAGAAATTCACCTTTTCTGTTCAACCCTTTTCTCTAACTCTGGTCTGAATTTTGTCCCTTGCCTGAAAATGTTCTTGGGAGTAGGACAAGGACTGAGGAGTAGAGAGGCTTGAAACCTTGGGCAACCTCCAGGAACAGTAGTTAAATAATGTTTGTGGTAGTTACATAATCTGGTGTCAACTTGAGACTATTAAGAATGAAGGGGTGGAGTTTAGCCTGTCAACCATGTCACAGTTAATGACCTCATTTAGAGGCATCACGGAGATAAATAGCTCACTGGAGGCCAGATACACTCTCTCCCTGCGAGACATTCCTATTGACAAGTGACAAGGAGCTACACTGATCAAGCCAGAGCCCTGGAGCTAGAGGAGCCATGTGGAGACCCACACCAGAACTGAGATGTTTCCACCACCACTGGATTGACAAGACTTTCCACCCACTGACCTGTAATCTTCCTGCATTCAGCATCATTCTATGTGTTGCATGAATCTGAAGAGGAAATTATAGACTGGAAT